TCTCTCTCTCTCTCTCTCTGTCTCTGTCTCTCTCCCTCCGCAGCGAAATCCAGGCTTTAGTGCTCCGACGCTTCTGCAGCCGTGTTCTGCTTTGAAGCGTTTATTTAGCAACGAGCTATACGCTAAAGCGAGAGTTGACTCCTCCCACACTAAGAAAACAGGAGGGGAGGGGTCAGGTGAGCTCCTGTGTAGCGGAGCACAGAGAGGGAGAGAGACGAAGTAAAAAAAAACAAGCAGGAAAATGAAACTTATCGCCGTCTTTTTTTTACCGACCTCAAAAAAAGTTATCGTGCAATAAATTGATTTATTGACTATCGCGACAGGCCTAGTGACAGTGTTGTCTTAGTGGTTAGCTATTAGCTGTTAGTGTTCTTCCTCTAACTTTTACTTACAGTTTTTAGTGTAAGTCTCCGCTAACTTGTTTACAGTTTTAGTGGTTTAGAATTAGTGAAGTAAAATTCTTGGTTAGCTGTGCCCACCACTTTTCAAAGTCATATATTTTCAATGGGAAGGTGGTCATGTAGCATATCAAAGACCAGAATTGTCTCACAAATTTATTACCACACCGTGTCTGTGTTCATCACATTATACACATCAAATAACAGGCCATGTTGCCAGTTGTTGTTGCAATGTACTGTGTTGATAACCTTTGGACCACAAGAGATCCATTTCTGAGATGATTCTGGTCTCAGAACCAGAATCAGCTTTATTGTCATTCACACATAACATCAGAGATGCAATGCAGAATGAAATTGCAGTTAAGAACACCCATTCCAGAGAGAGACACACATAACAAACATGGGAGAACGGATGAATAGGTCTTGCGCAACACAGTCGTGCTAACTTTTGCAGCTTGGAAAAACACAATAGGAGAGGTGAGTTAAAACAGTTGCTCTGATCCTATATTTACTCATAAACACAGAATCATATGCACACAAAAAACGACTCACTAGAGCAAGACAGCTGGGATAGGGGGGGTGGCTTGGAGTCAAACACGAGACTGGGGCAGGGTTCAGTGGAGCCGGTCACATTTTAGATAAATACTCTGTGCTGGAACCAATCCAAGGCCCGCCAGAATCCAGAGACCAGATCTTATTCGTCTCATGCTCAGTTCACAGAGTTCAGAGTTTCCCCTTCGTCCTCACAGACTGCTCCCACACCGATGATACAGGGTGGGGGGGACTCAAGCCCTCATTTATGTATCCTCCCAGGAAATTTTAGATAAACGTACTAACCCAAGACCAGCAGCTGGGATCCGAAAAGATAAACACAATTGTTTTGGGACAGGCCGCGTTGAACTTCCTTGCTGCTTTCAGTCTCACTGCATCTCTGAAAATGGTGAAAAAATGCCAAATGTTCCGAATTCCGTGTCTTCTCACCTCACGCCTTCTGAAGCTTCATCCAGGTGTAATCCTTATATCCCAGAGACACGCTCCTGGGCAGTGATTCTCGTCAGAATCACATCCAGTTTGTGACTTATCTCCCCRAGCATGTGAGTCTGTGTGCTTCCAGKGRYGCAGATTCCATCCATTTTCTCTGACAGCTTCTCACAGACCCAGACTGCTGTCAGGTTCGCTTTCAATTTCAGATAACTCAGAACTCGTCCACAGCCGATCAGCAGGAATCCAGTTATCATAAATCCAAATATATACAAATCTTCCACGTCTTCAATGGAAAGTGGTGCCAAACAGATCAGGTTCCAGCCCCAAGAACCACTGACCTGACCAGCAGCAGCCATTCCACTGGGACAGCTACATTCCCCTCGTTCCAGTCTTAATGTGGAAAAAACAGTGTCGATTGCATTCAGAGACCAGTTAACCAGATCCATAGTTCCTTTTTGTTTCGGATGATAGGTGAAGAAAGGCTTTAAAAAGCTTCGAAGCAGGAAAGGAGGGACAGGTTCGGGAGAGAGAGCAAAAAGCGTCCGACTCCTCTGAAGGCCAAGCGAAGAAGTAGGTCTTTCTTGATATGTTGCATGACCACCTTCCCATTGGATCAATTTGACCTTGATTCAGCATCAAGAGGGCGGCCATGTTCTGACCATAACCTAAAAGGTTAGGTACACCCCCTCACCCATTACTTGCCGGAGTATTCAGATATTTAATTTTCCCTTTCGTTTCTGAAACAAAAGCATATCTTTTGACTAGTCCTTCAGAAAAGCATGGTCACTTATAGGTATAAATGACTAACAATAGAAGAAGAGAGGGAAAGAAGAAAGAAATGATGGAAAAACAGTGAAGTGACAGAAGAAAAAAAGAGTTTTGTTCTGCTGTCAGTGAAAAGCGATGATATGCCTGACAACAGAAACGCTCGAGCCACAAATCGTAGTTGACGGCATCCAGATATAATTAGACCACATTTCATCTCTCCTTTTTCCTCAGAACATTGTTCAGGCAGGTTCTTTTTATTTACAGTGTAGATATGTCATGGCTTTAACAGGTTTACTGAGGTTTTGATGAAATGCCTCTGAAAAGCTTTAGTGATGTTAAAGCAGGAGAAACATTGTCTCTGCTGTGTACGCTGCCTTATCTTTAAAGCTTCTTCTGTTTTTCAGCCAAAAACACTGAACTGATTTAATGTGTGTATAATTCAGGCTTGTTGTATACCATGAACAAAATTAATCAAATCCTTTCATGGTTATCAAGCCTTATCGAAAAGGATTTTAGATTTTTTWAACTTGTTTTATATGTATTACATTTTAGCTTCAGCGTCTGCTAATTTTTTTTCTTTACGGTTAGCGGTTTAGCATTAGTAAAGCAATATTTTAAMTTAGCAGATTATAAGTTCTTGAAACTAACATTTTCAAAAACATTAGCATTGCTAACTACCTATCTGCTAACAAAAAARTGTTTCACAAATGCTAAAARCACTAAACAGGTAAAAACTAATTATCAGAAGCTAACATTWAATGTTAACTCAAGAGTTGACATTTAAACAAGGACATGTGTGGAGTCCACAGAAACATCAGAAAAGCTCATAAAAAATATTTCTACATCCACCAAACACAGTTAAAACCACAAGCAGTGTAATCGGCAAGTAAACAAATTGCACAAAGTGACAGAAACAGAAAAATTCTTGATTTACAGCTAACATGTCTGCTGAAAACAGAGATCTCACYGATTTTAAAACTCTAAGTTTAACCACATTTTAACCAGGATTCAGTGATCATAAGCAGATAAAACCAGAATTATATAAAAATCATCCATCCATCCATTTTCTGTACACGCTTCTTCCTTTTTCAGGGTTGCGTGGGTCACTGGTGCCCATATCCAGCAGTCACAGTGCGAGGGGCGGGGTACACCCTGGACAGGTCGCAAGTCCATCACAGGGCCACACATAGAGACAAACGAGACAAACAACCATTCACTCTCTCACTCACACCTAGGGACAATTTAGAGTTATCAATTAACCTAACAGTCATGTTTTTGGTCTGTGGGAGGAAGCCGGAGTACCCGGAGAGAACCCACGCATGCATGGAGAGAACATGCAAACTCTACCCAGAAAGGTCCCCGGACCGGGATTTGAACCGGTGACCGTCTTGCTGAGAGGCATCAGCTCTACCAACTGAGCCACCGTGTCGCCTTTTTGTATATCATCCAAATCATTAATCCACCAAAATAAAACCATATAAAGTAACAACTTCTCCCAAAGTGCTTTATGACATTTACCCCAAACCAGAATCAACCTTTTTTACCAGAGTATAAGGATTTGAGCGCACATAGACCACTGTCCCTCTGTGGCTGTGTCTCAATTCATGGGTTGTAACTGACATTGGTATTGGTGAATGGGGGTAGGTAAAACCCATGTGAGCAGGGGCCTCATATGTGGCTCTCTCCAAAAAGACACTGAGCTTTAATCAAACCTTCACATCCCTTAGATGAAGGACACAGAGTTTCTCAGTAAAGGGTCTCCAAGAATTCTTTTTCTTGGACTGCTCAGAGCCAGGCAGTGGTGTAAGTAGTGCGAAGAGGTCTGTAGTTCAATGCCATAGGCATCACACAGACCATTGTCATGGAGTCTCATCACATTACACCACCGCTTACACCACCACTGGTTGGCAACCAGTGTGCTTAGAGTTTTCCTTGTCAGGGCAATGACATTTGCTTTTGTTTTTTAGCTCCTGTTAAAAGACGAGCTGCTGCGTTCTGGACAACTTGTAATCGATGCAGAAAAGATACCCAAACCAACATTCATAGCAATACAATAATCCAAACAAGATGTAATAAGGGCATGAATCATTGAATCAATAAATTTGGCCAATGATAGCTGCAACCCATGAATTGAGACACAGAATGAGTCACGTGTCTTTGTCTCCTTCAAGTTGAATACTAATGTAGGTATACAAACAAAATGCTAGTAGATAGTTGTTGTTTTTAGAATTAGCAGAACTGAATTTGGCATAAACTAATTGGTCTGCTAATGTTTTTGAAACTTAACAAAAATGCTACACTGAATGAAAAGTTAGCCTTGTTGTTAGCTGTTTGCACAGTAGCAGAACTGGGCTCACCCACATATCTCCCACCTGTTACAAACCAGAAAAGACCCTCACTGCTAATTGAAAACCTAAAGTTCAGACAAATGAAGTCCATTTAAATTATATTCATATTTGCAGAAACTGACCGATGGTACCAATCTTTTTAAATGACAATCCAGGTAAAAACGACATCTTCGGTGAAATGATCCATCTGTTCGCCAAGCCAGGGAAGTCGTGCGCGGACGTGCGAGCGCTGAGTTACTGCGACCTGCACACCATTCAGAGGGACGACATCTTGGAGGTGCTGGACAAGTACCCAGAGTTTGCTGACCACTTCTTCACCAACCTGGAGCTGACCTTCGATCTCCGTGATGAAAACGCAAAGGTACTGAGCATGAAGGTGCTCCTCTCTTTCTGTGTGTGATGAGAAGGATCAAAGGCACCCCAAAGTGGATTGAGAGCTTTTATGTAGAAATCCGTCTGATGGATTCAGCTTCACTTTACGGCAATTAAAGCTCATGGAAGAACTTGAATTAAACTGTTTGTCCGGTGTCTTTTAAATGGGGAAATTTGTTTTAGCTAATTAATTCCCTGCGGTCCTTCCTCAGTGAATCCATTTTATTGGATAACAGCCTTTCTGGATGAAATAATGACCGATTTAGACTTTTCTTTTCCATTTTGCTGCCGTTTCCTGGAAGAAAAGTACGACGGAGAGAACGCATTAGTCAAGCATTAAAGACAGACGCTGGAGACAGAGAAAATAATGTAAACTGTAATCATGATGAACTGAGTGTTGGAGTGGCATGACGCCGTCATGAATCCCCATTAGTCAGTCATTTTATTTATCTCTTAAAGCAGAGGGGGGCGTGTGTTTGTTTCTCTTTAGTTATTTATTCCGGGTGTCAAAAAGAAGCAAAGACTCCTCAGGAGATCAGACACATGAGAAACGAGGTAAGACAAGGCAGGAAAACAAGAAAGACAAGCCGCTCCGACAAGGTGAGCAGCAGGTGGACCTTAGTTACAGGAGTCTTAGGCTACGTTCACACTGCAGGTAAATCCGACCCAAATCCGATTTTTTTGACCCATCTGACTCATATCCGATTTTTTTATGACAGTCTGAATGAGACAAATCTGATTTTTTCTAATCGGACCCAGGCCGTTTCAGTATGTGGTTTTAAATCAGATATACACTCACTGGCCACTTTATTAGGTACACCTGTCCAACTGCTCGTTAACACTTAATTTCTAATCAGCCAATCACATGGCGGCAACTCAGTGCATTTAGGCATGTAGACATGGTCATGACAATCTCCTGCAGTTCAAACCGAGCATCAGTATGGGGAAGAAAGGTGATTTGAGTGCCTTTGAACGTGGCATGGTTGTTGGTGCCAGAAGGGCTGGTCTGAGTATTTCAGAAACTGCTGATCTACTGGGATTTTCACGCACAACCATCTCTAGGGTTTACAGAGAATGGTCCGAAAAAGAAAAAACATCCAGTGAGCGGCAGTCCTGTGGGCGGAAATGCCTTGTTGATGCCAGAGGTCAGAGGAGAATGGGCAGACTGGTTCGAGCTGATAGAAAGGCAACAGTGACTCAAATAACCACCCGTTACAACCAAGGTAGGCAGAAGAGCATCTCTGAACGCACAGTACGTCGAACTTTGAGGCAGATGGGCTTCAGCAGCAGAAGACCACACCGGGTGCCACTCCTTTCAGCTAAGAACAGGAAACTGAGGCTACAATTTGCACAAGCTCATCGAAATTGGACAAGAGAAGATTGGAAAAATGTTGCCTGGTCTGATGAGTCTCGATTTCTGCTGCGACATTCGGATGGTAGGGTCAGAATTTGGCGTCAACAACATGAAAGCATGGATCCATCCTGCCTTGTATCAACGGTTCAGGCTGGTGGTGGTGGTGTCATGGTGTGGGGAATCTTTTCTTGGCACTCTTTGGGCCCCTTGGTACCAATTGAGCATCGTTGCAACGCCACAGCCTACCTGAGTCTTGTTGCTGACCATGTCCATCCCTTTATTACCACAAAACCGTTACTAGCGTGGTGTACCTAATAAAGTGGCCGGTGAGTGTAAATCTGATGTTTTCAAAGTGACTGCAGTGTGAACGCTCATGTCACATTCATCTGACTTTTTCATCAGGAGGAGGGGCTGAAGGATCGATAAGACACTAACCTCAAGTCTCACTGTTTAAATCTGTAGCCCCGTGTGTTTACAGCTCCAAAACACAAGTCCAGTTGCTTCATCTTTTTACTTTTCATTTTCCACGTAGATAGTATGATAATAACATGTCCAACCTGGGTCGCGGAGCGTATCGATCCCAAAGTTAGCTACTCAGTCGATACTTTTTTCCAGCTCGTAGTTTCGTTCAAAAAAAAAAAAAGCTTCACTGGAGCATCCCGGTCAGAGTCAGGTTCAGATATAAACACTGAACTAAAGAAGCATGTCAGATAATTATTTAATCGGCTCTGATTAAACAACAACTTCAGATTCGATGTGCAAAATGTAGCATCCATGCTAGCTCTGTGAACAAACCAGCCGGCTGATGAGACGTCACGTCTTTTACTGCGCATGTGTGTCACATCAGTGCTGTGGAGAGTTCACACTGGAGTCTGACGCAGGTCACACTTTGCATGTCTAAACCGGCTCAGCTATTTCTCTTTCTCAAATTGGCATTAGCCCTTATCTTTCAGCAGATCATGGGGATTGTTCTGGGCTACCATCATACCAAATTTCACCTTAATATTTATAGAAATGGCCACGTGACACACATTTAAAATTATCTTTGGTGGCCATCTTGAATTTTTGGTTTGCATTTAGATTTTGTTGAAGATTATTTTCAGTTGCTATTATACCAGTTTTTAACTTTGTATGTTTTAAAACTGGCTGAAATATAGTTCTTTCTGAAATTAGCATCAGCCCTTAGCTTAAAATCAAGATTAGCTTTCAGCATGCCATGGACATTGTTCTCGGCTGCAACTATAAAAATGTTCAACTTTTTATGTTTAAAATTGGTTTAGTTATAACCCCTTTGTAAATTTAACATTAGCATTAGCATTAGCAGTTTCCGTAAATTGGGATTAGCAATAAGCATGTGTTTGTGATCATTCTTAGCTAAACCACAACTAATTTTAGCTTAATAAGTCCTTTAATGGCTGAATTATAGCCATTTACATTTAGTTGTGTTGGTCATCTTATTTTTGATTTACATTTAAACTTTGGTAAAGACTGAATTTGACTACTTTAAATACTTATTTTCTGCTTTGTTAAAAAATGGCTGAAATATAGTTCTTTTGTAAAATTACATTAGCACTTAGTTTGAAACTGGGGCTAGCCTTCAGTATGTGTTTTTGGGTCATTCTTAGATCAAACAAATGTTTGCTCAATATTTCTTAAAACTACTGAATTAGAATAATTTGAAATTAGCTGTGGCAGCCATCTGGAATGTTTAAATCTAAGTATTATTTTTTATTTGTATGTGCTCCCCCCATTGCCCACCTGCTGCAGAAAAGTCTAGTTCTGCCCCTGTTCTTACATCAGGCTTCTTCATGTCTGTCCCTCTGCAGACGACCCACACAAAGACAAGTGATTCTAACATGGACTTGAAGTGCCGAAGACGAGTTTCCTACAAGAGGAGATCATCCACAGGTCAGAGTAAAATACTGGTATTTAGTCAGTGGAGTACATCTTCTTGTCTAGATTTCTATCAAATGGTACATATGTATCATATGTTCCACCAGGGCCTACTTAACCTGCTGGTAGGCCCTGTGGTTAAGGGGTCCTGTAGACACCCCCAGGTTTGGAATCCTGGTTGCACTAATCAGCTAATAGCTAATAGTCAGTTTCAACACTGAGCACCATTCAGACCAATTTCTGATGGACAGTATTTACAAATTTATAACCAACCAGGTTACTGAAAGCACTTCACAACCCAGTCTGTGTCCTCATTCACCCCTCCACACACTAATACAGCATTTAGTCAGTGTGCTCAATTAGCAGTACACTACAGTACACTGTGATCATACAAGTAGCATTTAAAGTTTAGAAATACATACAGCATTTGGTTTTGTGTATATTTACTGTCTATTTTTCTCCACTGTTAGAGACTCCAAGTACTCAACAAAATGTATTTAACGGCCTTTAAGGGACTCGTGTCAAACGCAGGTGTCTTTAGTCCTGTACTCAGTCTGTCTGTTTAAAGGCTGACAGGTAGTCACAGGGCTGATTGATGTCAGGGTGTGTAACACACTCAACATGGAGCACGGGGAGATGAGTGTCTCAGCTGGCTCAGGTGGACCAGAACACCAGTGGACAGGTGGACCAGAACACCAGTGGACAGGTGGACCAGAACACCAGTGGACAGGTGGACCAGGACACCAGTGGACAGGTGGACCAGGACACCAGAGGACAGGTGGACCAGAACACCAGAGGACAGGTGGACCAGGACACCAGAGGACAGGTGGACCAGGACACCAGAGGACAGATAGACCAGAACACCAGTGGACAGATGGACCAGAACACCAGTGGACAGATAGACCAGAACACCAGAGGACAGGTGGACCAGAACACCAG